GTAAAATAAGTTCATTCAAGACAAATAATCCATCTAGAAATACTGTATCCACTACTACTCTAATGTCTCCAATGATCAACAGCGTCACCCACTTATATTCACATAGAACAAAAAGGTGAAACTTACAAAACATGGACATGTAAAATATAACTACTCTCGTATTTAACATTCAGGTTATACCCAAAATAATAGATGCTAAAAAACGTTAAAGAACCAAATAGAAGTGGGGAGAAAATATGCACCGCTGCTTAAATATTATAAGTCGCATTGTATTTAAAAAGAAATACTCAAAAGCATAGGCTCTACCAAATGGAATGGACCTGCCAAGATGCCAAGACCAGACAACGAGGGCGGATTTGGCCATATCGGGAGAGCTCAATTTTCATGTCCAGTACTAACTATTGGTATACTGATATGTGATTTGACGGGATTGCCACTATACAAGTTCTGCCCCTCACATGAAGTGCTCGCTGCTCATTTTTTCCCCGGCACTACTACTCAAAGAATCAAGAAGAAGAAGAAGAAGAAGATTGCACAAGCATTAAAAGTGACTCTCTTACAAGACGAAGTGGTGAGATTCAAATGGTGAGTAGATGACCTACCTCTTGCGTTTGCTTTTCTGAGAAGACGAGGAGGATGAAGGATTACTGTGCCAGTTTCGTTTCCTTTGGTTGATGAACCAATTGTTTATCTGTTTTAGTTGCAAGCCCGTTTCCTGTACCAGTCGTGCTTTGTCTTCCTCCTGTTGTTTATCATTGAGGACATTTATTAGGGATGAGAGATGATAGAAGGTCCTAATAATGGAAAACTGACCACACATTCTAACCAACCGTTGGATATGGCCATTTTGAGTGAGACTGCCACCAGGCTTTTAAGACAGATGTTGTATCGCCGGGCAGCTTTCCAGCTCTTCGCTTGCGTAAGATTTCCTCCCTGATGTCCACAATCTTCTCCTTGTAACCCTAGAAAACAGAAAAACATTTCAGCAATATGAAACACCAACTTATGAACCCGCCATGGAGAAGAACTACTATTACGTGTTTGAGCTCATGCTTCAATTCTTGTCTCACACGCTCCATCAAAGACCTCTCGGTTTCAGTTGGCACAAGAGGACCAAAACCCATAGTATCCGGTCCATCCACGCCTCCATCAAAAAAGTTTGTGTCACTATCCGCTTGTTCATCATCGTCATCAGACATTGTTGCTCCAGTACCTTCACCAGGTGCCATCCCTGTTACGAAACGGTAAGAAAGAAACACACTTAAAACTTGGCAGGATACTAGGGGCTACGAGGCTGTCTAGTTATCTGTTAGTAAAATCTGCACAATGTTGGAAGCAAAAACAAAGACTACTCTTCTGAAAAGTCGGAGCTGGAAAGAGAAAGTACACTACAGCCCGTTAACTCATGCATCAATTAAATGCAAATAGCTACGAGACGCTGTTAAATGTCCTAAAAAGACAGAAAATAAGTTATATGAAGATTCGTACATACAAGTTTAGGCAAGCTAGATAAGGGTGTAGAGATGGAAGGTGGACAAACAGACAAGCAAGCCCAGGCACATATATTAACAAATGTTGAAGACCACTAGAGTTGATTAAATTATGCTAGCTGTTGTCATAATCCAGAAAATGTATGTCTATTGGCACATTGAGATGCATGGCAAGCTGTTGAATATGACTTGCATTGTCCAAGAGCATGTTATTTGTTAAAGAAATACATTAAGCATTGAGACATGAAAGAATTCAAAGAATGCAACTGAAGGTTAGGATATTGTCACCTGTTAAGCTCTGAAGAGATTGCTCTAGTTCCCAACAAGCCATGACTGCTTCCATGGCATGGACTCGGACATGTTGATGTAGTTGTTCTTTAAATGATGAGAGCAACAAAACATAGTGTGTCTGCATCAATATTTGAGAAAATTAGAACCAGAGAATTCATGGATATAATAAGCATCAATAAATAATTACTCATAACTCAATTACATGCAAGAAAATAAGGGATATATTGCCCGGAAAGCAGAAAAGCTTGAAGTGGAGACTGCAATCAGAAACTATCATGGACTAGGAGTAGTCTTAAGCAGAGACTACTACCATTTTCAACAAACACCAGAGCTTATTGAATTTATGATTCTGTTCATTTAACAAATTTGTATGACTTCAGAAAGAGTAGATTTATGTAAAAAGAGTTGGAATATCATCCATTCAAATGAGTAACTTCAGATATATGTTTCATAAAAATGTAATAATAAAAGGATTTGTGTTAGCTGGTCATTTGTAAATGAGAAACACTAGATAAGATCATTACATGAAGACATTTTTATTCCCGAAAGTCACAAAACAAAGACAAGTCCCATGACCAAGTAACAATTGGGATCAGCTATTTTGAAAAGGACATTCTCCAAACCTATGAACTTCCTATGATAATGGAACAGTTTGGATATTCCAGCAAATGGCACAAATTTAGACCAATATACAACCTTAGAATGGCCAAGCAAACTTATGTTCTTTAAGGAATCTCTCCATATAATATTCACAGTGGATTAGAGTTCTGTGCTTTTCATGGATGTGCCATCAGAGTAGAACTGATTTTTTTAATGTCGTTGAAGTTGAATGTATGCTTCAGTCACATTATTGATCTTTTCCTTTGAAATGCATTAAAAAAGCATGAATTCAAATCTAAAGGCTCAAGCCGCACGGCAGTGAAAAGAATATAGATATCCATGTAAAAATTAGAGCAGTTCCCAGGAGACCAATACTAAAATCTTCCTATGTGCAATTGTTGCTAGAAACTACGAATTCCCCGGAGAACCAACTTTGTCAAAAACTATGAAAATCGCTGTTAAGGTAAAGGATTATTGACGTGTTCACCCTTTTAGACTACCTTGATCAGGTAGAAATGAGTATTTATTTTATTCCTTAAAAATGTTATTCATCAACTAAATATCCATAATTAAAGGAACATCAACAAACATAATCAACATTTCACACACACACACACAAACTTATATGTGTATACTCCATATAACAAAGTGTTAAACTACTAAAACTTGAACACGGAGAGTCAAATAAGGCATGTTGATCCACTGCTTGACCCACAAAATCAGTTCAGTAAGGGAGACAGATAACACGAATATTGAAAAATGTTTGTGTATGTCCTTTGTGTAATTGAACTTGGCATCTTATTTTATCAATTAATGTAAAATTATGAGTCCACAAACCAGAAATTGAACAGCTAAGCTAGGTTTGACTTCCATATAAGGATAAAGCACCAAAGATACCACAGAGGGATAGATCATAAATTCACATTAAAAAAAAAGTCCATGTATACAATAACCTACTGGTCTATATGAGCAGGGCTAGGTACAAAGTACCATCCATAGTGAAAGATAAGAAATTAGAGAGGAGAAATAAAGGAAGGATTACCATAAATTGATCGAGTTCTTTTTCGTCGAGAGGCTGTTGACCTTGACCAAGAACAGAGTACTTAGCGACGACGTTTTGGGACTGGGCAAGCTGGGCGTCGATCCTCGGCAGCTGGTCCACCGGAGTTGCGATTCTCAGGCAGGACACGTGCGCCGACAGGAGCTGATCGTACAGCGGGTGGCTCAAAATGTCCGCCTTGCACCTCTCCCTCTCCCAGCTGCCCTCCTCGTTACCTATAGCGTGGTTGTTGCCGTGAATCGGCTCGGAAACGACGTCGCTCTTAGGCGGCTCGCCGGTGGGAGAGAGCCAGTGGTTGGAGGCGGAGGAGTCGGAGTTCGTAGTCTGGAGGTGGAGGAATCCGGCGGAGGCGCCGTCGGCGGGGGCGGAGAAGTGGTGGGTGTGCTGGCGGAGGAGGGAGGTATTGAGCCAGGTGGAGGGCGGCGATTTAGGCGAGGAGGAGTGGTGATCGGCGGGAAGCATGGAGTGCAAAACGGCGGCGTTTTGGTGGTGGTGGTGCTGCTGCTGAAGAGCCATTTCCTGAGAGAAGTGGTCCTGGAACGCCATTTTAGAGTCCCAACTCTTCTGCTCCTCCTCGTTTTCTTCTTCAAATCAAAACAAATGTGATGAATAATAATAGAGAGAGAAATTGGGAAGTATGATTGAGACTTTTAGAGAGAGATGAGAGAGAGATGAGAAAGCGTTTACTGCAACAGTGCTTGCGCGGATGTCCGTGCACGTATGTAATGTAGATACAAATACATACTCCAATGGGAGTATTTAGGAACTCAGTTCGTATTCTTTTGGCATATATTCATCCATTGTACAATGGGTGTCTTACACTCTTACATACAAACTACTCCATAATTTTTACCTGTGCTTCCATTCTATATAAATATATCTATAAAATTGTTACTCTGTATTATATGAAAAAAATAAAACTAACATTAAATAAATAAGTAATCTACTATTAAAGTTGTTCAATCACAACGTCTATTAATGGAATACATAAATATTATACACGCATTACATATTAATGATAATACATTAACTCTTCGTAAATAACTTTGTTAGACATTACATATTTGGAGATGTCGTGGTATACAAGGGAAGGATGCATTCATTAATTTCCTCTATGTCTCTTATTATTTTACACTATGACTAATTAAATTTATAATTTTGATAGCATACTTTATTTTAAATTTTTAAGGAAAAATTTGAATTTTTTTTTTTATTCTGCAATCTCTATGTATGAAAAACTATACATGTATGAAAATAAAAAAAAAAAGAAAATACATTTTATTCTACTTTTTTCTTAAAAAAATGAACTTCAAGAAAAAATAGAAAATAAAATAGTGAACACAGATATATGCATGACTATTTAAGAATTATATTTATATTTTGTATATTTGTTCAAAGTTCAACTAATATATAAACATTATATGAATTATAATTTAATTTTATTTATTTTAATTTTATAATAATAATATGACATGCATTATAAGTCTTTTTTAGAAATTTGGTTATGATATCTTATTGTAGCTAGACTATTACTATTAGATAAGATATATTTTTTGAAAAAAATTGTATTTTAACAATAATTCCCATGCCCTAAAATTTATATACTCCGTATAATAGTTTGGATACGATACTTTATACTCCCTCCGTCCGGTTTTAAAATTCTCATTCTACGCTTTTTACGTCCGGATTCAAAGTTCCCATTATATGTTTTCATACACACATTTCCTAAAATACCCCTTCCTTCTATTCTTCTTTCCCGCCCTTTTTCGTTTTCCTTTTTTTCTCTCGGCCAGCAGGTACCACTCTTCCCACTCTTTCTCTCTCTCTCTCTCCTCCTCTCCCCCTTCCTTTTCTACTCCTCATTGTCTCCTCCTCTTTCTTCTTCTTCTTCCCTTTCTTTTCTCTCTAAATCTAGCCTTCATCTCCCCCCTCTCTCTCCTCCCCCCTTCTTTTCTTCTTTTTGTCATTTTCTTCTTCTACTAGAGGATCTTGTTTGTTTTTCAGATCTAAAAATTTGGAGATCCATTTGTGCGGGGTTGCCGGCGATGGTGGTGGGGGTTGCCGGCGATGGTGTCGGCGATGAGTTTTTTCAGATTTGCGCTTCTTTCTCTTTCTTCGATTCCCTAACCTCTTCTTCTTCGTCTTCTCTTTCTCTCCCTTGATACTTCCAATCGACGACCAGATCAGATCTGGCGATGGCCGTGGACTGACGGTGATGGGGAGGCGGTGATGGGGAGGCGATGATGGGGAGGCTGACGGTGGCGGCAGGCCTGGGGAAAAGATGATAGGAGAAAGGGGCGGCGGTGGGCTGAAGGAAAAGATGATAGGAGAAAGGGGCGGCAGTGGGGTGTTGGCAACAGGGGCTGGCGGAGGGGCAGGGGCATTTTGGACAAATTACTTACAAAGTCAGCTCCCCATAAAAATGAGCAAAAGTCAAACTGGGAACCTTAAATCCGGACAGAGGGGTATAATTTTTATTTTTTTTGCAAGGTAATAAAAATAAAAAAATGGTGAAATACTAAATATGCGCGCGCACACACATCTATATATATATACTTTGTATGTTCTAACTAATAAATATAATATTTTTAATAGTAGATACAATAAATAAATAAATAAATAAGAAATGGAATTTTTAACTAATTCTTTTGATATTGTTATGAAATAAAAATTAAAATTTTAATAATGATGCAAATGTATTATATTTCATATAAATCTATATTTTTAAAATGGAATAAAAAGGTAAAATAGTGTAAAAATTCTTACAATGTGTTGTCTTTAAAAAATTTAATAAAGTTTATATAACCTTTGAAAAAAGTAATTAAATAATAAGACATTAAAATATATTTTAAAATGAAGAAAGACATATTCGTATAACAATTAGAAGATGAAGATATATATATATATATATATATATATATATATATATATATATATATATAGGACTTTTGGTCATTATTTCCCAATGTAGGACTTTTGGTCATTATTAATTAGTCATTATTCAAGTAAATGTCCATTATTAATTTATTACTGGGCATTATTCCTCCACTAAGACATTATTAAGTTCTTTCTAAGGAATAAAAAAGTTTAATTCCTAGATTAAGAAACTAATTATGTTTTAGTATTATTTAGTGCAGATTTATTAATAAAATTTGTTTTATCTTTATAAATAAAAAGATAAAAGATAAATTCAAATCGTATTAGGATTGTGTTACCACTTTTTTGGGGAAGATGAGTCGAAGCAACTAGTTTTTATCTCGTGCTTTGCACTGACTCGCATACTTTTTTTTATAAGTATAACTATTTAAAAAATGTTACTCCGTATTATATTAAATTAAATAAATAAGAGAAATTTGGATATGATAACTTATTGTAGCCAAACTATTACTCCCTCTGTCTCTAAATAAACTTCCATTCTTGACTTTTTGAAAATTTAAGGGAGGAATATTTTTTGTGTTGACTTTAAAAAAATATCTTTGATATGATGTGTAAATGCAAGATTCTCATCTCTATTTTATTACTGGTTTGCTTTATTTTATCGCATGTATGCTTAGATTTGGAAAAAGTAATTTTCATGTGTTTTATGTCATCTCTATTTTATTGCTCATTTGCTCTATTTTTTGTAATATTTCTAAACATGTAATCCATTTTATGAGGGAATAAGCAAGTAATATTCAAATGGTAAAATAAAAGTAAAATTTTAAAAGGAAAACATACTTCCAAAATTATCGATGTAGGTTCTAATCGGTTTCAGATATAATCGGTTTCGGGTTTTATCGGTTTCGGATATTATCGGTTTCGGATCTAATCGGTTCGGATATTATCGGTTTCGAATCTAATTGGTTTCGGATTTAAATCGGATATGAATTATTTAGTTCGGTTTCGGTTCGATTCGGATCATTTCGGGTTTTCGGTTATAGATCGGATCTTCATTTTTCGGGTCATTTCAGTTTCGGTTTCGGATATTTCGGTTCGGGTAATCGGTTCCTGTTCTGTTTTGCCAGCTCTACTTATGAGGCGTAAGAAAAAGCTTCACCACCCTCACTCACGCCCCCTACCATTACACCGCATCACTAATAGAGCATGGTCCCTAGTGAAGGGATGGCTATCACGCTATTTTGGGTACATTTTTTTTAATTGTAACCAATTAAAATTTAACATATTTTTATTTCAACCAATTAAAATATTTCACATTTTTACATTCCATCATTTTCTTTATCACACACCATAATACATATACTTTTATCACTCCACATCATACTCATTTACACCAATCAAGGCCCGTGAGGCGGGATAGTGGCACAGGGCCAAGCAATTTAGGGGGAAAAAAACACTTGGGTATAGGGGTGGACAGGGTCCTGGTACAGAACCAGTACCGGCGCCAGTACAAGCGGTTCCACCACCGAGACCGGCGACGGAGACGACTTCACGGTTCACCGAACTGGTACCGAGTCTGGTGTATAGTTTTTGCGACCGGAACCGATGGTACCGGTCAATTTTTGAATTTTTTTGGCTTGCTGACAAAGTGATGCAGATGGGCCGTGGAGAGCGCCTCCAGCGGCTCTATAGCCGTTTGGGGGAGGGGGCAGGGGGTTCGAGGGATATTTTTACCTATAAATACTTCCCTAATTTTTTTAATTCACTCATCTCTCTCTCTCTCTCTCTTACATCTTAATCTCTACTAAATTTTTCTCTTTTATAATTATAATTTATACTTATACATTTTATATTTATATATACACCAAGGTTCAAGTGACATTAGACCTCAATGTCATGGGATGATCCGGGGGCGTGTTCCGTTTGTAAAATTGATGGTTCCTACCCCCGGTAAACCACCCCACCCGGTCTCGACCCGAACACACCTCCCACCCCCTTCTATTGCACCACATAAGTTGATTTTGACTTTGGAGTCAAAATTTAACTCCAAAGTCACAATCAACTTGTGAGGTGCAATTGAAGGGGCTGAGGAGGTGTGTTCGGGTCGGGGGCGGGGTTCACTGGAGGATTAGGAGGGGTAGTAACCATCAATTTTACAAACGAGGTACCGGAGCGCCTCCGGGTCATCCCATAATATAAATATATTATCATACTCCCTCCGTCCCCCTGTATTTGTCCACTTTCATTTTTACACACCATCCAATGCACTTCTTTAATCCATTTTATCTTGTAATTTGTATTATAAAAAATTATAAAAATTATATATTAATAATCTATATGTTAAGACAAACCAAATAAGATCACACATAACTATATTTAGATTTACACATTGAGAGAATTTGATGAGTCAAAGTACTAAGATGAACAGTTTCAAAAGTCAAATGTGGACAAATACATGGGGACGGAGGGAGTATATTACTAGTATATTATATTATTATATATTTATATTATAATATATTATGAAATTGGAATATATTATTTATTAATGTTATAAACTTATCATATTATAATATGAATTTCTAAAATAGTCCTACTTTTAATCAATATAAAAATATATTAAAGTGTCGAGAGAGTTTGTAGAAGCTTCGTAGATATGGACATTGTGAACCGAGGACGTTTTAACTAAGGCAAAGCTATCGCCACCTCCGAAGGTTTGAGCTCACGTGCTTCTGAAGGAAGGCACTTTTTCTCTTCCTTTCCTACTATTCCCCATCAATTCATGGACAACACTATGACTGATTAA